ACAGACATGCAGGCACACAGCATGCTCACTTACCTCCACAATTTCCGTGCTGGAGTATCTTGTCAGCCCCTGCTCGGCGGGGTGGATTACTGAGATCTGCACCAGGGTATTCAGCTTCCTATCACGGACAGGAGCCACCAGATCCTTGCACGCTGGCAATGGCAGAGCAAAGAGAAAGAAAAGAAACTGATACCATATCTCAGGGAAAACTTCGGTCCCGGGCTGGAAGTAAACTGAGCTCCCGTGCTGAATGAGCTCTCCGGAGACTGGGGCTGATTTTACAGAGGAAGTCCCTTGGAAGTACCTTACAGAAATAGGAAGTCACGTGCTGAAGCGCTGAATTGAGAGTTCATTTCCACTGACCACATTTGCAGCTCTTGCAAGTCTCGGCTGTCCTGGGATCCCAGCTCTAACGTGTGACTTTGCATACACTGCTCAGGGACTTCAGGGGCTTTAAAGAGTCATGAAGCCCTGGGCTTTAAATCACACTAAGTCCACTGAGTCGGGCCATACACAGGAAACCATGCTGTTTTACATTGAAACTGGCTGGATTCGTTCAAACATTTGAATGCACACTTGCTCCTTACCTAGCTATTCACTAGAGCTGGCCTCCTGCAGTCACAAGCAGGGACAGAAACTGGAAGAGAAAGGACCTACCTATCACAGCAGCTCGCCAGCCACAGAAAAAGGCAGAGGAGGCAGACAAGGGGTTAAAAACCACCTCTGTCTGGGATCCCAGCCAATTCTGGGAGGGAGAAATGTGGAATCAAGATGGGTTCAGTTCTTGCCCAGGGGCCACACATGTAAGAACTTTCTCTTGAGACACCAGGCTCAGGTTACAGACTCTCATCACCATACCATATTTACTTGAATATTTTCTCCCCCCACATATCACTGCCACAATCTGGGGAAGAAACAGTATACATATGTATATATATTCCTTTTCAGCAAGTCCAACTTCTCCTCTCCCTGGTGTTGAAATAGTAATTTTGCTCCCTACAGTTGGATCCTTAAGTATGATGACAAGTCTCCTCCCCAGAGGGGGTTCAAGTTAGGTGGTGAGGCTGGAGCTGTGATGGGGGGGCTGAGAAGCAGCCCAGGTCTTGGATTCAAGGTGACCTTGTTCAGGGCTCTGCACACCCCTACCCCATGCCTCTGACCAGTCTGTGCAGGAAAGGGAGGGGAGGACGGGTATACTGGAGCGACTGGGCCAGGGGAACTGTGACTTAAATCTGAAGCTCGAAAGCAAAGGAAATTATAAATGTATTTAGCACCTTTCAGTCACTTACAGTTAATCTTATTTTATAGAAGCAGGATGGGATACAGGAAAAAACAGGGGGCTTTGGAGCAAAACAGGCCGGGTTTCCCTCAAGCTATACTGGCTAAGCAATGCAGGGCAAATGATTTAACCTAACTCCTTCTCGCCAGACTTTGAGATCCTTTTACTCCTGGATGGTATTCTGTCATAAATTTTCCTTATTTAAACCACATACTCTAGTTTAGGGAAGCATGTGTGGAAAAAANACACTATAAAAACATGCCGCCATATTTTATATGTCGTATAACTTCGTATAATGTATGCTATACGAAGTTATTACGGCAATATCTAGAAACTTCAGAAACATTATTTAATCTCTTCCACTTGCTTTCTACCCACAGTTTTGTTACTCTTTCAGTAACTTCTTAAAATAACGACAACAAAAATATACACCAAGAGATCAGGCCAGCCTCCCAGAAAAAGAAAAAAAATCTGTTCTGGAGCTGTTGCTCCTACCTAATTGCCAATTTGGCACTAAGCCAAATGAATCTGCGGAAAAAACAAAAAAAAACCCCAGCAAACTATAAACATGAGACAAGCATAAACACAGTACAAATACCCTCCTTGAAAAATGCCAGTGGCACCAAAAACCCAATGGTTGGGAAAAGCATAATTCTTTTTCCCAAAGAAAAAAAGAAGTACAAGTACTTACGGTGTCATGAGATTTATCCTTGACATCATAGACTGTGAGTTTTATTTTGGTCTCCTCATAGATGGGATACTCAGGTGGGAATGTGACGCCGGTCAAAAACAGTGGGTCTCTTGTTCCCTGTAACAGCACAAGCAGACAACTTTGATTCAATAGGCAGCAACTGTAGTGGGCAATGTGCAGTGACACATGAGAACGCAGAAAGTGTGTCTGGGTCTATTTGTTTTTCTAGGAAATAGTTCTATTAGAAGAAAGATCTGAGTTACCAAATGATGCTCATAGAAACCGACATGGCCCAGGGCCCTCAAGTCTGATATAGCGGCTGATAGTAAATGGCCCTGCGTTGTTGTCAGAGCTGCTAAATAGTCTTGAAAAACAATTTATTTTCATTATATGCAGAACTCTTCTTTAGGGTCAGTTATCAGTCCACTTAGAATACATTTAATGGATATAACCTGTAATTTATGCATATAAGCTAAGATTATTGACTGATCAAATTAAAATGAAGCAATTTTCTCATAAAGAACCATTTGGTAAGCTTACGCTGCCCATTTGTTTCCTTGCTGTAATGATTCAATTGAAAGCCATGCTCTGATAGTGCCCATTTGTTTTTAGATGTTTAGCTGTGTTTTGCAAACTGTATTTTAAAACCACCTCCTGCCTC